CTGCCACTACCAGCACCAGCTCTTCCCCAGGTGCCTGCCCTGCACACTGTGGGCTGAGGACACTGGGCACAGCCAGATGCTGTCACTGACAGGGAAGCCTGCACTGAGTCTCCAGCCTCACCAGCACTGGACACGTAGTATGTCTTGGGGAGGGCCTTCCCAGTCCCTGGCCCTGGCCCTGGCCCTGGCCCCGGCCCCTGCCTCCCCTCCTCCCTGGCTGGCCTGCCTGTATTCCCCCTGACCCCAGGTTCCACTCCTACCACAGCATGCAGAGAGGAGGAACACAGTTCAGAACTTTATTGAGCAGCCCATGTCTCTGCAGCTGGGCAGGCATGGGCCTCTTACACCCAGAGGAAGGTGTTGATGCTGGCAGTGATGTCTTCCTCAGGAGTAGGAGGCAGGGACATGTAATGCTGCCACAAGTAGCTCTCCAGGCAGCAGCAGAGGTTGTGGGACAGCCCGGGCTTGCCCCCCACACCATCATACCTCAGGGTCCCAAGCAAGGAGTGCAGGTGTGCCTGGGGCACCAAGAGAATCAGCAGCAGCAGGACATAGTGGCTTGGGCATCTCTCCACCTGCACAAACAGCTCGTCATGCACTGCCCAGAACACATCCAACAGAGGCACACTAGGCATGCAGTGGCAATGTGGGGGGGGGTGGCCCCGGAGTGCCTCCCTAAAGAGGCAGAGCAGTGGCATAGCCAGCCCCTTGCCCCAGTTTTCCAGGAGCCCTGTGTGCCCTGAGCCTGGGTGCTGTGGGCTGGCCAGCAGCACAGCAATGCGATTGGCCTGCAGGGAGAGAGGGGAAGAACAGGGTCTGGAGTTATGGTAGCAGGTGCTGCCAGCAACCTGGCCTGTCCCACCCTGGGAATGAGGTGGGGGAGGCAGGCTGCCTGTGGCCAGCACCCAGCAGGCTGCCAGTCCCAGAGGAGCAAGGAGGGGCAGGGAGCTTGGGCAGGAGCCAGCTGGGCCCAGGCCTGCCCAGCTGACTTACCACGGTCCCTGGGCACCTGTGTATGGCTGATCCCCAGTCTGAGGCTAGGTAGCGCTCGGCCCCTGGTGCAGAGCATCTCATCTCTGGAATGTTGCAAACTTTTACAAAAGGCCTCTGTCTCTTGCCTTTGCAGGGCCAACTTCTAGACATGGGGGATGCAGGCTCTGGGTCGCTGCCACCCATTGCTGGAACCCTTCACATGCGCTGGCTAAGCCAGCAGTGCACACAAGACTGGACCTTCCTGCTTCAGCAGCTGGTCACAATGGCAGAGGAGTGGGAGGCATGGGAGCAGGCATGGGAAGTGCAGGAGCAAGCCTGGCAGGTAGAGAACATTGCCTGGGAGGAAGTAAAGGACCAGGCCCAGCAGGAGCACTAGGCACAGATGCAGGCCCAAGAACGGGACTGCACTGAGCTGCAGCTGGTGGGCCTCCAGGCCTGGCAGTGGAGGCTGCAGACACCAACTGCTGGACCCTGAACACTCTCCTGGGCCTGGTGCTCACGCCCATGACCCCCACTGCCTGTCCTTTGTCCATGGTCCTGCAGGGCCCCTGGGTCCTGCCTGCTGCCCCCCAGCAGGCCCCTGCTAGGCCCTGGGAGGAGACTGTTCAGCACCTCCAGCCTGCCAGAGCCCTTAGCCCAACCCCTGCTCCAGGTCCCCTGCCACCCAGCCCTCCCACCTGGGTACAGGCCTGCCACTTGTTCCGGCTCCATGCGGGCATGGAGCCACAGCAGCCAGCAGCAGGGAGAGGACCCCACACCAGCCCCACTGGCCAGGAACAGCCCCAAGCAGAGGGGGAGCCACCCACACCAGAGGACCAGCAGCTGCCATCCCCCTGGGGCATGTGCACCCATGGAGGAACTGGCCAAGGCTGGGATATTGGGGGCCTGTGCCCATGCTCTGCCCTCTAGGTACCTCTACCCCATGGCTGCCCACTCTGGGACTCGGATAGAGACTAAGACTATTGTAAATAGTGTGTACTTTTGAAAGTAGGTTTTTTATTGTTGGAGGGTGGTGGAGGGGCTCTGTTGGCTGAGAGAGGAAGGGGCTCTGTGTGTTGCGGAGGGAGGAGGAGGAGGCTCTGTGTTGAGGGGGGAGGAATGGGGGGGTCTATTTTGTGAGGGTAATAAAGCTTTTTTGTCTCAAACATGTTGTGCCTGGCCTGAGAGTGATACTGGAGGTGGGCAGGGGGTAGGGGGTGTCTTGGCAGTGGGGTAGGTGCGCTGGAGCAGGCAGTGCAAGAGGGGGTTGGGCAGACCTGCTGCAGCCAGTGCCCTGGCCCCCCACTGGTGGGTGTGTGGCTGTCCTGGAGGGGGGGAGGGGCTGCTACAACCAGCAGGGCCAGCACCATGGCCAGCAGGAGTATGTTTGTTGCACTGTTTTTTTGCTGGCGGGGCTGGGGCTGGGGCAGCCATGGCGTGGGGAGGCAGGATGGGCAAGGAGGGAGCTGCCACGTGCTGCCCTTGTGCTGGGCACACTGCTCCGGGGCAGGAAAGGGGTTAGCCAGGGATCAGAGTGTGGACCTAGGTTTCCAAGACGGTTGCCAAGTGCTAGCAGCAGGTTTTGGCTTCAACATGGTGGACAATTCCTGGCAGCCATGTGGCTGGGGGCTGGAGCTCCCCACAGTGGCCACAGGGGCACATGACAGGGCTGGGGAGACTTGACCCTAGATTTTGTGCCAAGTTTCTCCACGTGTAGACACCTGTCAAAATCGCTGCTAAATTTAAGCACTAAATTAGGCTAATGCACAGTAAATTTAGTTGCACTTAACTGTACGTATAGAATGCACCCTTTGTGTTGTATTTTTATGCCTTGATAATTGATAAGCTTGTTGATGGAGTAAAGTTTTATTCAATTTGAGCAAGGGTGGCCAAATCCAGCACACAGGAAAGACATTAGCATCTATCATAGCAGTTAATAGGCTGATAGCATTTTATCATTGTTTTCCTAAATGTGTTTCCTTTGCTACTTCTCAGTATTTGAAGATGAACATCCCTGTCCTCCTACCAGTCAGAGAGTGGAACATGGCTGTGCAATTTTCAGAAACATCTTGCTTGCACCTCCTCCAGCTAATTATCTGCCCTTTCTGCTTGTGGATGAAGTAAGCAAAGTAAGAAGATACCCTGGATAAATATCTTTAATTTGTCTTAAGCAAGTGGGATATTTTATTCATCAGTTTTCTGAGATACTTCTCTGTATCAATGCTCGTAGTACATCTTTGCAAAATAATCATGTTTTATGAGTCTGCGTACCAAATGTACTACTCCATAGTGATGATGATAATGGAGAAAAACCCAAATGCCTAGCTGTCACTTAGAAAATATAATTACTGGCTGCTGGCAATTAGAATTTGCCATGGCCATATTAATAAATGTTCATTAGTTAGGGTTGCAGTTCCTGGCATATTTGTCCCTCCAAGAGACCATGTTAATCATCCACAGATGAAAGTAAATATGAATTCTTTCAAGACCTGAAGAAATATGGAATCCCACAGAATTGTTTTAGTATAAAGAAGAAAATAAATGGGGATATATTATCTCAAAATTCAGGGCAAGCCAGATCTTGTGCTTTATTTCAAGTGAGAACTTCCAAATGCTAATAGGAATGGTACTGGGTGCATCTACATATACCCCTAGGGCACTGTTGTTAATGTGCCATCATTTAGTACATCCTTTTGGAAATACTAAATGATGCTGCAGTGATAGACTATACTGCGCTGTGCATCTGGCGCATGGTTATTTTTAGCCACTACATCGCTGTAGCAACGCACTATAGTGAGGGAGCGTTGTGCCTGCCGATGCTACATTGCTGTAGTGCATTGCTATGATGACATAGCGTCCTGTGTAGATGCGCTGACTGAGGAGTAGAACATAATCACTTCCAGGTTAATAGGAGGTAATGTCAGAACGCTATGGTGACCTGCTGTTGGCTCTCATTTTCATAAAAAGATTTGCAGGTCACCTCAGAACTTCACATAATGTCTTTTTGAAAGATTTGGGGGAATGGATGGGGAAAGAACTGCACACAATCTTATGCTTGACATGAAGTTCACACATCTTACCACACTTATAATAATAAGAAAATTGTAATAATATGATGATATTAATAATGTACTAATTTCTTCTGACACAAAATGGAGTTATTCAAACATCCATGATTATTGTCCGGAGACAAACCTTAAAAAAGTTAGTGGGATAAAAAAATGCTAAGAGTTTGTTTCGGAAGATTGTGAAGGACATTTGAATGGTTGTCCCAGAACTGAATAATTTAGTCAGTGGCAGAAAAGCAACAGTGCTTGGTAGGGTGATATGTGTTCAGGCCAATCTTGGGACTTTTCTGTTCCAAGATAAACACAGACCCAGCTTGTCCCAGGACAAATGCAGTGTCTGTTCCTAGCCTGACTGATGACCATTTCTGTGATTCTTTGTAGCACCTTCAAAGCATAGGCAAAGGCACTTGTCACTGTAGATTATCATTATTCCTTGAATCAGACAGCAATGAATTGGCTGTAGAGGCAGGTCCAGAGTGCCAACACAATATTTAATGGGTAAAATAGTCAGGATCCTTTGTGTCCTATCACAACCGTGCTTGAGGAAAGCAGCCTTGAAGAAAACACCTTAGGCTCAGGAGATCCAGGTTCCATTCCCAGTTCTGGTGCAAACTCTGACAAATTTCTTTATCTATCTGTGTTTTGGTTTCTTATGTGTAAAATGGAAATGGTAATGATTACAGGTGCATCAATACATCGGTCCATATTGTATCAGCACCAGCAAAAGGAAAATTGACATTATCGGCAATCAACTTTTTTGGCTGATGTGGCCAATAAAGTTGCAGATAAATGTCACATGCATGCTCATAGCTGCAGCATACACATGGCCAGCCTGGCAGCTTGGAGAGCAGCGTCTGGCTGGTACGTCTGTTGGGGGGAAAGGGTGGTGGGAGGGAAGAGGCATGGAGGGGGCAGATCAAGGCCCCTGCAGTAAGGGAGGAAATGGGACTGGGGAAGAGGCAGGTGCTGCCCAGCCAGAGCAGGGCACAGGACTGAGCCGTGCAGCTTGTCCAGGGGGCACAGGAAGAGGGAGGCAGGTCCCACCACTACACACACCCGTGGGGGAGGCATTGGGCTCACGTACTCCCTGGATCTGTGTGTGAGGCGCAGGTGGGTTGCCACTGCAGGCTGGGGGCAGTGCTGAGCTCTTCCTGGTGGGGGAGCTGAGCCGGGGCTGTGCTTGGGGTGGGCAGCAGCGGCACTAAGAGGAGGGCTACATGGGATCTATGGAAAATTCTGGGGGCAGCCCACGTGGGCTGCCTCCCGCCCCAGCGGGTTGGTGATCTAGCGCGGGGGATGGGGAAGCAGCCCAGCGGGGCTGCTTCCCCATCCCCAGCGAAACGTTGAAACAGCATCAAAACAGCCTTTCTGTTTCAACGGAGCAGAACAGCTGTTTCAACTTGAAATGAAATTCAAAATGGAGTACTGTTCCATCAAAACTCAAGGCGAAACAGAAAGGTGCCGTTTTGCACAGCCCTACAAGGTAGTTGCTGTGACTCTGACTCCAGCCCTGACCCAGTAACAGTGTCAAAGCTGCAGCTGCTACCTGCCCCCCATCCTCCACAGTTTACCTTCACTCCAGCTCTAGCCCTGCCCCAGC